CCCCTAAAATGCTCTCCCCCCCCCCCACCCCCACAAATCTGGAAGATTGACAAGCTACCCATGAGTTAGGAAAAAAAATATCTACTATATTAGGGCAATGCCATCTATAGACACATACAGGTTAGAATTACAGAAGCATGATGCTAATAAAACAATTATTTATTAGTTCTATCTGGCTTGTAGATTTTGCCAATCAAAATAGACTCTGGTTCTATTGCAAAAATGAAAACTAATCAGATTCATTAAAATGTAGCATAATAATACAATCAGCACTAATACAGTTGGTGGGCAACAATCAAACTAAAAGCCCAGAAAGCATTTGGATAAAATGGTTGTCAGGCCCTTTCAGATTGCAAGAATGGTTGGATCCCAGTATACCTTCAGGGACCATATATTTAAGGTATGGGGGCTACTACTACTGAAAAGGCCTAGAATGGATGTTCCTTTTAAATTTAAATATAATATCCCAGGAGGATGGGGAGGGGATTGTTCATAAAAATGATGGTAAATCCTATATCCTGAGCTGTGGTGGCTCAGTGGTTAGACTGCAATATTGCAGGCTGCCAGCATTTTGATTCTCACCGGCTCAGTTAACTCAGCCTTCCATCCTTCTGAGGTTAGTAAAATGAGGACCCAGATCGTTGGGGGCAATATGCTGACTCTGTAAACCTCTTAGAGAGGGCTGTAAATCTAAGTGCTATTGCTATTGATATATTGGGAACTAGCATGTGGAAAACTATAAATGAATATTCACTTATAATATAAATATAGATATATTGTTTTATATTTAAAGAGAGAGGTTCATTTGGAATTTAATATACAGGTAAGATAGCCTTTTGATTAATCTGTAGCAGCAGCTAATAGTCCTGTCCTTTCATGCTAACTCATTTTCTTCATTGATCTATATCCAAGCATTATCTAGCAATGTGTACAGTGGAGAAGCAGTTCCTTTTAATTTTAACTTAATGATATAAAAATTGCAGATATAATGCAAATGCTACATCTTTTTCCTGTTTCTGCAATGCCATTTTTACCTTTTAATAATATTTAAATGTGACCTATTCCTGTTTAGATGATTTACAAACCTTCACGCAAGATTAGATGTATGATTTCTTTCCATATTTATATATACTGTATTTCCCTGAAAATATGACCTACTCCGAAAACAAGCCTTAGCCTGATTTTCAGGCCTGTGTCTAATTATAAGTCCTACCCAAAAATAAGTCCTAGTTAAGCCCCGTCCACTATCTGGTTGTAGAAGGTGGGGTGAGGCGCAGGCCTAAAAATTAAGCTAGGGCAGGGTAGCTGCCCCATGCGCCCTGCACCTGCCTACCTTAGGACTGCTGCAGTCAGGCCTCCTAAGCCCTGACACTTGTCATGCTACTGCCCAACTTCTTCTGCAGCTGCTTTCAGCCACTCACAACTGGATACCATGTGGCACATCACGACGATGCCACCACTCGCCACAGAACACGGCAAGGCTCGTCAAATGGCAGCATTGGCATGACAAGCCTTGCAGTGTCATGCTGCGAGCAGCACCCTCGGTATGATGAGTCATGCAGAGTCTGGCCACAAGTGGCTACGGAATAATTTGGGCAGCAACGCAGCAGGTATCGGGGCATGGGAGGCCTGGCTGTGGTGATCCTAAGGTAAACTGGTAAGACATCCCCCCAAAATAAGACCTGGTGCTTATTTTGGGGCTGAAAAATAAGGGAAACATGATATTTCTATACTTTATATGTTTCTTTGACAATGAATTTTAACAATGTTGAATTCTGAATCAATGCACTTAAAGTGTCAATAGTCTTTTTAATAAAGAAAATTGCAAACCATTTTAGATTATGAAAAATGCACAATTCTTGAACATTCCAGTCATTTTACTTAACAATAAACTGGTAAGAAATATTTATAACAATTAGAGATTTTAAATAAATCTTAAAAAAAACTTCTGATTTTTCAGAGAATAAGGCTTAATTTTCTAAACAGAGAACATAGTTATAAGCCACCCAGAGTCATTGGTTGAGATCGGTAGCCATAGAAATTGAATGAATGACTAAATAAATAAATAAATAAATAAATAAATAAATAAATAAATAAATAAATAAAGGGTGTTATTGAGGGTTCCTTTCATATGTTTTCAAGCATGCAATCACTTTGTAAATATCTAAAACTATTGATTGCCAAAATATTCCAGCTAAAGTCATGATTTATCATTAAGAATAACTGGGGAAATGTGAAAATATTTAACACAAGTTTGGCATAGTGGTTAAGGTTAGAAACCCGAAGACTGTAAGTCACTGTCCTCCTTTAGGCATGAGGAAATTTTGATAAAGAAGAAGATTGTAAAGAGAATAGGATTAAATATGGAATATTTTTCATGAACGGTTACTGAATATAATAAGAGCAATAAGAGCAATAGATGATGAAAGAAATGCACAGATGAGAGTCATGCAATATTCCTTTGGTTACTCAATATATTTATAAATAAATATGCATCCAGTGCTCTGGTGACATTAGAAGTAAGGTGGTTATAGATATGAATGAAGACATACTTTTGTATGCAGAAAACATTGCCTTATTTGCTGACTATCTGAATAATTTATTGCAAGTGCTGACTAGAGGGATAGAGATCTGAAAATTAATGAAATATGAAGGCAATAGTGCTTGGAAAAAATAGAGATAATTACAGATAGGTAGATAGTTACTGTAGACAGACAGACAGACAGACAGACAGACAGATGGAAAGGCAGGCAGGCAGGCAGGCAGAAATAGAACAAGTTGAAGAATTTGACCATATTTATAGAAAGTTTACTATAGATGATAAAACAGAATAAGTCATCCTTCTATAGAGCCATGTAGTCCTGATTCAATTAGCAGAGTAAAAGTTTCTGAATCTCCTGGAGCTTTTTTTCTTTATACAGGGAACCAATGCTTGCTTATTTGGTTGCACATTAAAAAAGGGGATTCCTTAGAATTTAACTCAATAGCATGTAGATGCTTTTCAGAAAATAAAGAAATCACAGATGTCAAATTCTGTGCTGCCTCTAGCGATTTACACTTCATGTAATAGAGTGGGAATACGCTTAGTTACACAATTGCCAGGTGGTACTGCTGCATCAATTACTTACTAATTCCACACTGGATTATGCAGCAGTTATTTAAAAAATATAGTGCAATTGTTCAGTGTTCATCCCTTTGAAATTTATACTGATCATAACTTTGTTTTAAATCTCATTTTTTAAAAAATAAAAAGAAATTTAATTACGCATTGGCTTTGAACTTTGAAGAATATGGAGAATTAGATTAATGCATTATTGCTGTGTTTTGGTCGTGAAAAACCACACAAGTTAGATAAGCCTCAAATTAAGTGGCCAGTTCAATGTAGCTTTATGATACAGAGGAAACAACTATATTTTTTATGTTCTTCCTTTGTTTATCAATCCCTTCAGTGTGAATTTTCCTAATTCTTTTTTTTTTCAAAACTTTAGCCTTGGAAGAGGTCATTCTTTTTTTTTTTTTTTTATTCAAGAGGAAACAAACCTGCCTAGAGAGAAATTCATCAATGTGGACAATTAAGCTTGAAATGTAGTGATCCCTTCCCTTACATTATTTACTTACTTGAAAAGAGAAGGGGCTGTTTAGCTTTTCTTAAAATAATTCTTGAATAGGGCTAAGATCTATTTAATTCAATGTTTTTCAAACTAAGCAACATTAAGATGTGTTGAATTTAACTCTCAGAATTCCTTAGCCAGCATGGAACATATCTTAAAGTTGCCAAGTTTGAAGCATATTTATTTACTTACATTCTAAAATTCTAGAAAGAATCTAATACTGGGAAAAATTGAGGGCAAAAGAAGAACGGGACGAAAGAGAATGAGATGTCTGGATGGAGTCACTGAAGCAGTAGGCATGAGTTTAAATGGACTCCAGAGGACAGGAAGGCCTGGAGGAACGTTGTCCATGGGGTCGCGATGGGTCAGACAGGATTTCACAACTAACAACAATAACAACAAAAATCTAGATCAGTATCTCTTTCCTGCCTTGGCGTTCTGTTGATTACCAAGATATGTATATTGTAGCATTCTAGATTTTTCAAATTATATGTCCCAGCATCTCCTACCATTGATGATACTCCAATGCATGTTGTGTATTATTATTAGGCAACATCTAAAGAGACATAGCTTACCTATCCCTGTTAATTACTTTAATTATATTATGTTAACATATGTTAATACAGATCCCTCATCATCTGTTCCCAACCTTCATCAGCCATTCCAAAATTTTCATTAGTTTTTTTTTTTTTTTTTACTTCTCACAGTAGAATGGATGTCTTTAACCTTCAGTTATGTCACAGGTAGAATAATTTGTTTTGGTAAACAGTGCTTAATCTAAACCTATAACAGAAGCATACTTATCTTAAAGCCCATGGATTTCCTATTCTGTTCTTTATCTAATTCAGTTGGGTATGTTTATACTATATCCTTTAGTATATAGTCAGAATCCTGACTATAACCAATCCTTTGGTTATAGCCAGAATTTTGGCTTCATCTAACTGCAAGATTAAGTAAAGCCATCAAAATCTGGCTATTTCAAACAGGCCTTCGGGAATGATATATTATGGGATGAATCCTTTCAGCAGTAGCAATGTTATATGAAAAATTACATTTTGATAAAATAGGTTTCTATGAATTTCATCCTGGGCACTGGGGAATTTTCCAGCCTTGAAAGTGGCCACTCCCACTTCCTGATCTAAAAAAAGTGGAATTTCTCAAATGCTTTTCAGATAAAGTAAGTGCCAGAGGCCTGTTTTCTATCTGTGCAAATGTTCTTCTTTGGTTAAAAAAAAATCAAATATACTGGGATAGTTGAAAAATATATCAACAAAAATGTGACACAGAACATTGATCAATTTATCTGAAAAGCTTATTAGTGTATGAGTGAATTAGATTTACAAGAGGGTTTTTCAGTATTTCATTTATGTTTTTAAAACATTCTTTCAGGGCCATGTCTCCCTAATCCCTGCCATAATGGTGGAACATGTGAAATCAGTGAAGCCTACAGAGGAGACACGTTCATAGGCTACATCTGCAAATGTCAAGCTGGATTTAATGGAATACACTGCCAGCACAGTAAGTTTTAAAATGGTATTTACCTTTCCTGCTTGATGAAGAAATATCTAGAACTGCTATTCTGCATAGTTATCTAATTACTGTATGTGTTTGACTCAGCAGATCTGTTTGGCTGTAACTGTGGACGTGTCTGAGCATCAGAATTTTTACTGGACAGTTCCACAAGATTATTTGCAATTTCTTTCTATTTTTATTGCAATTTCAGTAGGAATCTTCATGCTTGAGTCTTTTCCATAAAATAAAGATAGGATTCTTTCTTTCTCTTTTTCTTTCTTTTTTTCTCTCTCTCTTTCTTTCTTTCTCTCTGTGTCTTTCTTTCTTTCTATCAGAAAATGGGATATTGCAATCTCCAATTTCAAGGCTTTATCTTGATGTTGTCAGCAGTTCATTCAGCTAATGATGGCTGAAGATAAAAGGGCTTGTTAAAAAGTAGATATTTATGCTAATAGGTTTCCTATATTCTCTATTTCTGCTCATTTTAAAACTAATCCAAGACAGGTGCTGTTAGCCATGTTATTTAATTCAATAGGAAGTCTTTCCCGAGGGCTTTTTTAATAGATGTTCTGGATTTTTCTACCATTAGTTAAATGCACAGCATCATTTCTACCTAAAATTTATTACAGCCAGTCAGGAAAAGTAAATTATGAGTTGAAGAATTTTATTTTACTTTTTCTCCTTACTCTGGAATCAAACAAAGGAATTCTTTGCATCTGTCTTCACGCAAAAAGAAAAACAATTGTCCAACCTATCAAGAGCAGCACCCTAGGAGACAGAATCAGAATGCAAGTCAAAATTAGGCGAGAAAGTTGTAAGAAAACACCTATCCATTCTAGACAAGTTCAAATCACCAGGATCAGATGGATTATATCCCAGGGTTCTGAAGGAACTGACAGATGTGAACTTGAAATTATTGAACAAAATATTTAAAGCTTCTGGAGCATCAGGGAAATATCAGAGGGAAAAGGTTGATGTGTCTCCAATCTACAAAAAAAATGGAGGGGGAGGAGGATTCAGGGAATTACAGACCAAGCAGCCTGACATCAATATCTAGGAAAAATCCTGAAAAAGATAATGAAACAGTGCATTTGTGAGCAAAACAATTACTAGAAGCCAGCGTGAGTTTGTCAACAACTGATCATGTCATTTGATGAAAGTGACTTCTGCCTATTTCTTGATAAGATAGAATAATGTAGGATAGGGAATACCACCAACAGATGGATTTGCAACTGGCTAACCAACCATGCTCAGTGGGTAGTCCTCAATGGAACTACATTTATCTAGAGGGAAATATGCAATGGTTCTGTTTGGCCCAATACTCTTCAACATTGTTCTGTTTTGGGCCAATACTCTTCAACATTTTCATAAATTATCTAGATCAGGGCTGTCAAACTCACGGCCCATGGGCTGGATGTGTCACGTGCTGGCTCCGCCCCCCCTGGTTTAGCAAAGGGGGAAAAAGTCCCGATACATCACGTGACACCACCATGACGATGCGAGTTTGACACCCCTGATCTAGATGAAGCGATAGAAGGGAAACTTCATCAAAGTTACAGATAACACCAACCTGGGGGAGAATAATTAACACTTTAGAAAACAGACTCAAGATTCAAAAGTATCTTAACAGATTTGAATGTTGGGCCTTATTCAACAAAATGTAATTCAGTACTGAGAAATGTAAGGTCCTACATTTAAGGGAAAAAAAACCAAATGCACAAATATAGAATACTGGCACAGCAGTAGTAACTGTGAGAGGAATCTAGAGATTCCAGTAGATCACCATTTAAGTATAATCCAGTAGGATGCTGCAACTGCAAAAAAAGCTAATGTCCTAAGTTGCATCAATAAAAGGATAGTTTCAAGATAGTGTGAAGTGATTGTACTGCTTTACACTGCACTGGTGAATCTATACTTTATCTACTGGGATCACTTTGGTTAGCACAATACAAAAAATATTTTGAGACTCTAGAAAGAGTGCAAATAACAGCAACAATAATAAATAAGGGATCTAAAAGCATATGATGAATGATTGAGTGAACTCAATGTGTCTAGCTAACAAACTGAAGGACTAGGAATAATATGATAGCAGTCTTCCAATACTTCCAGTACTTCATAATTTATTAAGCAATTAATTAGAATTGCTTAAACATTACAAATTTGTAATGTACTGTACTGTAATTACATATTTGTTTTCCCATTACAGTACTGATCAGGTAAGGCATGGATGTTGGGGAAGACTCCATAGATGGTATGTGCATAAATTGGGGAGTTTCCAACACAGACCTTGGACAGCTTATCCTTTTATTCTTTGTCATGGTGAAAATCATATGACATTCTCTGTCAGGTCAGCCTTTTCTTGACCAGTACATAACTATTACATGACCTGGCATGATGTTTCTTATCAGGTAGCTGTCATTGTCTGATTTTGATGTACTGTTTCTCTATGACTTGCTGCATGGCAATTTTCATTTCTGGTGGCTGGTATCCACATCTGTTCTAATGGTTTTTTTTGTTTTTCACCCTCATTTGTATGTCTGAATTTTTCCTCAGGTGCAAATTCCATTCATCTATTTCTCCCAAGATTTTATTTCTTATAAAATTTAAAAAGGCAGTATATGATCTGGAGCAATTGTAGGCATGGATATAGCACTTGTCAGAAACACCTTCAGCCAAATGCATATTTTCCCAAGATTGAGTGGTTTTGCCACATGAGCCTAGGGGAAAATATGCTTAAAATATGCTGCTTAATAATTTCAAACAGAAATCTGCAACAAAGTGTGAAAAAGAATACCAGAATGAACTTTACTACTTTAGCCAAAACTATGCAGCTGAACTTGTAGACTTTCTAGACATTTCTAGAACATACGTAATTCATGCATTTAACTTTACTACCCTATTAAACTTTGTTTTACTATTGAATTTCTCTGTATCCATTTTTTCTTGGAAATATAGACATTTAGAGACAATAAAAAAGCTAAGAAGCAAATAAAAAGACCAGAATACATTGTCTCCAGCAGTCAATACCCTGATCAGCAGGGATTAACACTGGACAAACAATCAAGGAGAAACTAATATCCTAATCAAGAAAGTACCAAGGAGAAACCACTTTCCAACAAAAAAAAATGGCAGGCCAAGTTACTGCATATAAATGGAGAGCAAACTCCACTCACCTGCACTGATAATGTTATTTTGTGGGGGTAATGAAACATATGCAAGCAAACAACTAAGTTCAGAGGGCACCAAGGTCTCCATACTTCAATCCTGAGCTCAGATTTTCTCTTTTATTGGAATAGATTTTAGTGCTGTACAAAGGACAATGATGTTATCATTTATTTGACAGTTGTTCATAGGGCATTCCCAAATAAAGGGCTTCTAAGGCTGCCTATTCTATCTTAATTGATTTTTAAGAAATAAAGGTAAAGGATTAAGTGCTGGGGGAAAATGGGTCAATTACAAAAGTAGGCATGGTAACAGTACAATTAAAGTTTTGTCAGATTTTTTTAACAAACGATATCAAGGATAAGAACTATGTATACAATTTTCATTGTATGGATTATTACTTGTGAAAGTAAAATTTAGGTTTTATCAATTTTGTTTAAGTAGATTTGGTCTGATTATTAACTAAAATGATAAAGGGAACAAGTCAATGTCATGTGTTCAATTTCAAATAATAGTTGAGTTTCCATTATGAATTTTCCATTGTGAATTTTTGGGGTGACATGTTAGTTTACACATTTTACACAGATATATTAGTGTCTTTTGAGTACATACACTTTAACTATATAAAATGTATTTAATATCTCTTCAAAACTGAGGCGACTAAAACTTGTTTCTAGTTTGGCCTTGGTCTAATTCAGGGGTGTCAAACTCACATCATCATCGTGTCGTCATGTGATGTATCGGGACTTTTTTCTCCTTCACTAAACCGGGCAGGGATGGGGCCAGCATGTGTCACATCCGGCCTATGGATCGCAAGTTTGATACCCCGGTCTAATTCATACAAAAAAATATTTTCTCTTCCTAAATATGGCAGCAGTTCTAGCTTTTATGCAATTGACATCCTGCCTATTCTCTGCATAAAATCTCTCTCTCTCTCTCATATATATATATATATATATGCAAATCTTGGCGCATTCGGGTCTTTTTCCGTGTAAGATTGAAAGTATCTTGTTGATGTTTCGACGAGGTCCCACTAGTCATCTTCAGGCTGGTGTCTTTGACTTCGTGTTTGTGCAAGGAAAGCGTGATCGGAGATGCCGTCTCTCTATAAATACCGGTGGAGAGGTGTGAAAATCTACGAAAACAAATATATATACATATATATATATGTGTGAAAGAGAGAGAGAGCACCAATTTTCTTCAGTCTTTGTACCACTTCTTCAATGAAGATAAGCTCTCTATATGTTGATTGGATATCAATACAATGCGTTAAGCAAGGCTATTGCTTAACGCATTGTAAGCCGTTCTGAGTCTCCGGAAAAGGGCGGCATATAAATCAAATTTTAAAAAAATACAGTTTGACAAAAACTGCTAAATTAAACAAAAGCTTCAACTAAACCCAAACCTTCTGAGATCAGCAAAAAAATAAATTAAATTAAAAAATGGAGAAAGTTTGCTTAACAACAGACTGCCAGGAGCACTGTGCTCATATTGCTCCTTTTGTTAAATTGCTTTAAATTATTGTTGTGACATCATAAGTCTGAAAGGAAGAGGGTAATAACTGCAGCTTTAAAAAAGATGTTTACCCAGCAAAATGATCATGTTTTTAATAGAATAATTTAAATGGGTAAACAAATCTACAATAATTATGTAAATTTAAGCTTCATTCATACTTTGTATTTAGAAACTATCCAAGCTTTAATATTTAGATATTTAAATATCTATTTAAATTTAAATATTTAATATTTAGTTGAAATAAAACCAAGTCCAAATATTAAATTGTAGTTACAAAGTTTAATCAACAATGAAATTAAAATGTAATTGATTTGTATAGTTATCGCAGA